AGAACACCAAAGTTTGTATTCCAATTTATCGGGTACTAAATGCCCTAGGCTTACTTTGCGTCCTGAATTTAAATTTGCTTGCCTGTGGGTTTTGTATTTTTTTGGAGTAACTTCAAAATGCCCTTTTTTAATTTTGTAGGCAATGCTACTACTCACCGTAATGATATATGTACATCATTTCTTTGATAAAACTGATAGCAATTGTTTGGCACCGGTTGCAAACAAATGGCCGCGCGATGGCGTGCTGCGTGTCGAAGTTATCACTAATTTGGAAAAATTCAATGCTTACCAGGATAGATTACTAGGTAACATTTTCGTGCTTCGATTGCGCACTGTCCTTAAGTTGAGTACCTCACTTTTCATCAAGCTTTCGTATTTTTTTTAACACCAATGATAGATTATTGCTTTAGACGCTGCACAAAAACTATGTGTTTTCTAAATGTTGCGTTGATGTACTTTTTGTGGCTCGCTTTTTATTATTACTGGGTACGCTTTTTCCAGAAGAATCTTATGAAAAACAAAATGACAAAACGAATACAACAGTGTTCGATTTGAAGCGTATTCTAAGGGAGGGACCGAGTGCCCTACCCAAAGAATTGAGGAGTAAATCAAGGCGAAATTCTCGGTAATTTTTTTTTTTTTTGGGCATTTAAAGTATATCTTATTGCAGTAATATAGCTATCACTTTATAAAAGGCATGCGTTGTTTAATTTTTCCCCAAACAAATTGAAGCTCTCTTGCTAATTTTCATTTTTCGCTTAAATACGACTGGTGTTTTTAGACAAAATTCTTTGCCTTCTAACACAGTTTAGTACATCTGAACTGATTTTAAAGGCTCTAAAACCATAGATTTGCGCTTCGACTGTTGTTTCGCGTTTTTTTTTTTTTTTTTCCTTCCTTTCTCCCTGATGCAATCTTGGTTCCCCTACCAGATTAGATAAAGGGCGGCTTATGCCACCTTTCGAACAGAGGCGGCATGAACCGCCCCTATTAACTTTTTTATGCAGTAGGTTTGTTTAACATTAAGCATATGTTTTTTTTCAAGATTTGTTCTAAAACTGTTTCAGGAAAAAGAGCGACCATTGGACTAATTTTCTAACTTCAGAATATACATTATTCAATGTTTTTGCTAAATCAGATAGTAAATCGAAAAAGATGTCATCGGAGACGTCAGATTATGATGAGAGTGATGATCACGATTCGCACGATTTGCTCGGTGCGCTGCCCATTTTGATATTATTTCTTTGGTTTTTCTATATTTGCAAGAAGTGATTTTCAATTTCAGTACGCATTGTGATTTCTTCCACTGATAGGAAACAAAAATAGGCTTGTATGCAAGATAGAATGCATACAAATAAGCGGTTGGAGCGATCAGACTTTCGGGATTGGGCAGATAAGCGAAATATTTCATTTTCCGAACGCAATACGATTTTTTTTGCAGATGATTCGGATGCCAGTTTTGAATATGTTGTCGAATATTCGTTACATTATGGTTTACTGAAACTCTCGCACTCATATCGTCTCGAACATCACATCCCATTTCTTCTTGTTAGGGTCTGTTTTGCTCCTCGTATTACTGCAAATCCAAGCGTTAGTTTAGTTTATACTTTAAACTTTTATAAATGAAATAGCTAAGAATTTTTAAGCTAACTTTTCTGTTGCCGTTTGAAGCACCCCCATTCATTTGCCGAGTAGGATACAAGAACCAACTTTGCGCAGTGCAGTTTTACTTGCCTACTGTTTCACTATTTTTTTTTTCTTTGACCCCTTCTTGTGTTCAGTTGCTTTTTAACGGGAGCAAAAGTGAAAGGCACATATGTGAGCAAAGAAAAAAGAAACCCATGGAACCATCGAGGAGACTTTCTTATCGATATTTAATAGCATTTCAGTTAGACCCGGAAACTGATAGTTGTTTCGGCGATAGTCTCAGCCGTGCATTGATGAAGTATTTCATTGGTTATGAAGACGTTCTGATGACATCCGTGAAAGCTTTAGCAGAAAACGAAACAGATAAAGGTAAGTTAACATACGCAGTACTTTCAGTTTGTACTCTCAGCTTTTGCTGTTTTTAACTTTTACATTATACTGGCTTGATTTTCCACTCTGCCAATTTTAACGCTATCAGTATTTAACAAAATACATATTCTTTGAACCCGAAACTTGGCAGTGATTCAAAGTTCACTAACACGGAAGACCTGTTGCATTTAAACAAAAAAAAAGTGCTACTTTAGAAATTACAGGATATTTGCGTGATATGATTACTGGCGAGCACTATCGGTTTGTCACTATGGGTAGCCCACGAGCAAGCTATTTTACCGCTTTGGTCGTCATGCTCATTTTTGTAAGTGCTTTTCCGTCATTTGCTTTATGTTTGGATATTTCGAAAACGCATTGTTACATATCTTTTTATGTTCTTCCATTTCTCCAAATGCTTAAACAGATAAGCTAAGAATGCTAACTTTTATAGATCATAATCATTCGTTAAGTACTAGACTGCAAACATTTTTATAGACAGAATCTAGCACTCGAAAATGAATTGGATTACGACACTTTCATGCTTTTTTTTGCTTCAAGAGGGGTGAAATACCTAAAATTCTTCTACGAATTTTAAAGTGATTTGACCTACTATTTCGCATGCAGATGAAGTCAATTTTGTAACTACAAAACACGAAACTTACAAACTCAAAATTGACTTTTCGACTACACGGTAGTGCAAATTATCGAAAATGGCTGTTAAAACTGAATGCATTTCACTTGCATTCTCCGGCCAAAAAGTTACGTCTGATGTTATGCTTCAAGAACTGGTCAAACTATTAGTCCGATCATCTGGGACCCCACAAAATCGGGCGGTTAAACTCATCATTGAGTCGCCTGTTGCATGTAGCTGTCTCATCCTCCAGCCGTACGCTCACAGCAAATAGTGCAAAAACAGATGATCTTTTCCTCTGGTACATGCCACTGGTACGCCGAAGAAAGTTTTTGAACATGATTTTTTCTGCGTTTTGTATTGCAGCAAATGCCAAAAACGCTGTATGTATTTGCATGTGTGTGTGTGTGTGTGTGT